TGGCAAGGCAGTTCCACTCAGCTGGTGCCATTCGCATAGACTGGAATAAAACGTGGTACAGACGTTGTGAAAACAGTACAGTAACCATGCCAGCTTTTGGTGTAATATATAATGGAACAGACAAACCACTGGTCACCACTCTTTGTGGACACATTCGTCGATCTGATCACAGTTGAGAGGTATTACAGATGGCCTGTTTCAGCCACACTGACGGTCATTGTGCCAACCTTAACCTCACCATGTTGTAATAACTACCACTTCCATAATACTAATCTAGATTTTACGTAATAGGTTTAAATTGCGCTTCGATTTGTCATTATTACACGTGAACACGTGGTGTACTATCTATTGGGGTTATATATTACACAACCTTACACACTGGGCAGATGTTTACATGTTATTGTTGTGGTAAATTAAACAGCTTGACATTAATAAACACGTGTTTACTGTCTTTTGTGGGTTTAAATTGCGCAACCTGAAACACTTCGCACATGTCTGCCATGTCATGTGGTGGTTAATAAAACTAACTGGACACATCAATAAGCACATATTTACTGACTATCGTTGTGGGAAATAAAACGACCTGACACATCAATAAGCACATGTTTGCTGACATTTTTGGTGGCAAATTAAACAACCTGACGTATTACTAAGCACTAACTATTGTTTTGGTAAATAAAACGACCTGGCACATCAATAAGCACATGCTTACTAACTATTGTGGTGGTAAATGAAACAACCTGTCGCATTAAAAGCACATGTTTTCTATAATTACATTGTGGTGGTAAATTAAACAACCTGTCGCATTAATAAGCACATGTTTTCTATAATTACATTGTGGTGGTAAATTAAACAACCTGACGCATTAATAAGCACATGTTTTCTATAATTACATTGTGGTGGTAAATTAAACAACCTGTCGCATTAATAAGCACATGTTTTCTATAATTACATTGTGGTGGTAAATTAAACAACCTGACGCATTAATAAGCACATGTTTTCTATAATTACATTGTGGTGGTAAATTACACAACCTGACGCATTAATAAGCACATGTTTTCTATAATTACATTGTGGTGGTAAATTAAACAACCTGACGCATTAAGAAGCACATGTTTTCTATAATTACATTGTGGTGGTAAATTAAACAACCTGTCGCATTAATAAGCACATGTTTTCTATAATTACATTGTGGTGGTAAATTAAACAACCTGACGCATTAATAAGCACATGTTTTCTATAATTACATTGTGGTGGTAAATTAAACAACCTGACGCATTAAGAAGCACATGTTTTCTAAAATTACATTGTGGTGGTAAATTAAACAACCTGATGCATTATAAGCACATGTTTACTGACTATTGTGATGGTAAATTAAACAACCTCACGCATTATAAGCACATGTTTACTGACTATTGTGATGGTAAATTAAACAACTTTTCACGTGAGCACTTTGTTGTACTATCTATTGTTGTTATTAATTTACGTCAATCTATTTTGGGGATATTTATCAACTGACACCTTTTTTGTGTTGGAAAAGTAAAACAACCCGACAAAATGGTCACGTTTACATCCTATTCCCACGTGGACCACATTGTGCTATAGTGTGATTGAAGACCACATGATATCCTTAGCACTGCATTTTTAATGTTACATTAATTAAAGTTATAACATAGTGTTACTTATAGTTTCTGTACACGGTGATGAATTTGTTTCCTTCGCAAAGGAGAAAAGGCACGACGTTTTGTGTGTAGTGTGGTGAAGTGTGTTAGGCGTCAGTGGACCGCCTCTCGCGGTAACCAGGCCGTGACAGCGTAATGTTCCTTACATGATATATAGTGTTAAACTCTACTGAACGAGTGACTGCCTTTGACGTCACTGTGGTGGGAAAGTAGGTTATATCCCATTGATATGTTAACATACATTCGCCTGTGATGTGGAAGACCTTAACACCTAGTGGAATCCAAGGTGTCCGCTAGTGTCAGACCGGGTGTCAAGACAGAACATCTTTACATAATTTGGGGTTAAGGGTGCAATAAAAGCAAGACCCTGCCCCCAAAGCAGATTACACATAAACATTTCCGGAATATAGGAACGCGACCTAAAGGAATGTCTAAAACGTACAGATAATATATGAACTTACACTCTTCAAAAAAAGAAACGCACTGGTAGTATGTAGTTCATTGAACCTGACTACACAAAAATCAAGGTATATAAATTGGATATATGTTATTGGAAAATGTTGGTGGCCTGATATTCGAGAAACGGTTGGTCAAAACGCAGTGATTGTCGATTTGCAATGTCATAAACGGCATTGTTTTCACACTTGTTCAAAAATGTCATTGAGGAAAACGGTAAAGCAAAATGCACGTGCAAGTTATGGCATTGCGTAACTCGTGGCAGTGGCTATAAAAGGCAAGCATAAGCCAATAATTTGTCATCCAATTGTCAGCATTTTTCAAGTTCGGAAATGCCGAGACTCAGCGCTGCCGATCGGAACATCTCCACAGGACGTATCTAAAGAGGGGAATGGCAGTCTTCTTTTGCACGCCACTTCAACGTCCACCACAGCACCATTTAGCGCCTTTGGGACCAATACACACAGTTCAATTCTGTCAGGAACCATCTTCGCGAGGCTGGAATCTGACCCAGAAGACAAGTTATCGTCCCTGTTTTGCAACGGATCCATCGACAGTGATGCTTGCGTTGGTGCCATACCTTAAAGCCTTGGAATTTGAGAAACTTGAGAAAAGTGTGGTTTAGCGATGAATCACGATTTCTTCTTCACCGGCGAGATGGAAGACAACGTGTTTACTGTCGTCGAAATTAGCGTTTTGCCCCACATTGTGTACGTGAATTCGACAATTTCGGTGGCGGTAGTGTCATGGTGTGGGGGGCCAAATCCTACACTACGAGATTTGACCTGGTTGTGGTTCAGAGACATTTGACAGTAAATCGCTACATGAATCAAATTCTTCAACCTCACCTTCTTCCAATCATTGACCGCCAGAGGGAGCTGTTTCAACAGGACAACGCTCCACCGCACACAGCTCGTGTCACGGTAGACTACCTACATAATGCCAACATCAACGTCTTGCCCTGGCCGTCGAGATCTCCCGATCTCAACCCAATCGAACACTCTGGGATGAACTCGATCGACGTGTACGTCAACGTCAGAACACGCTGCAGTCACTCCCACAACTGGCCAACGCATTACAAGCAGAATGGCGCAGAATTCCGCAGGACAGAATTCGTACACTTATCCAGTCAGTGCCGAGGAGATGCAGAGCCGGTTACATGAGATACTGAGTTCAATATCTATGATATTAAATTAAATATATCGACTTTATAAGGTGCAATAAATTTACTAAAAATCTACCTGTGTGTTTCTTTTTTTAAAGTGTATTTCTGGTGACAAAATAAATATGTAATAAAGATAGTTTAAAAATGGTTTCGAATTTTTAATATGTATTTATCAGTCTGTAAAGTGACAATGTAACACGGTGAAATGGCTACAAAACTGAGCTGTAAAAGGTGGACTAACTGACTGAATCTCTCAGATTCAATTAGTGCCCCGTGGTTCGCCTTCCTGAAGTAGATTAATGGTTGCGTGTGTTAATATCCGGCGCTGCATGTGTCCCCCATAACTTTGACGTTATGGCCACTGAGTAATTTTGCTGAATCAGCGATATTATTGCACTGACTTGACTGTTTCATTTACTAACTTCTTGCAACTGTATACAATATGTCAAACTGGCATGATTGGTTAAATTGGCCATATATGATCAAATTGCTTCTAAAGTGCCTTAATATGTATCAGTTTTCAGATCACATACCAACAACTGGAATATGCATTTATTACGTGTTAAGAGAATATTAATCCTTTAATTCCATATGAGTGTCATAAAAGCACTGGCGAGTGGAGCTGATGTCTTTCATTTCTGAGTATTATCGAACGGTGAAGATACTCGTTTGTGGCGAAAGCAATGTCCCATCTTTATAAATAATGTTGTTTTTGTTTACAAGAACATTTGAACCTTTGTGTTAGGGTTAAGTATTTATTTTTATTCGTTTATTCCAATGCTATGGTTGGCATAATGTCAGCCGTACTGAGTATTAGGAACAGCTACCGTGAAGGTACGGACCAGAAACGGTCTTCAGCAACTCACACTAGTCTTCTTCCCCAGTGAAGATCCCGGTTAGAATTGGCCTTCAGCAACCAACGTGATCGGGTGGTCAGGCTTGCTGACGTGGTTGAATTGGCCTTCAGCAACCAACGTGATCGGTTGGTCAGGCTTGCTGACGTGGTTGAACTGGCCTTCAGCAACCAACGTGATCGGTTGGTCAGGCTTGCTGACGTGGTTGAATTGGCCTTCAGCAACCAACGTGATCGGGTGGTCAGGCTTGCTGACGTGGTTGAATTGGCCTTCAGCAACCAACGTGATCGGTTGGTCAGGCTTGCTGACGTGGTTGAACTGGCCTTCAGCAACCAACGTGATCGGTTGGTCAGGCTTGCTGACGTGGTTGAATTGGCCTTCAGCAACCAACGTGATCGGGTGGTCAGGCTTGCTGACGTGGTTGAATTGGCCTTCAGCAACCAACGTGATCGGTTGGTCAGGCTTGCTGACGTGGTTGAATTGGCCTTCAGCAACCAACGTGATCGGGTGGTCAGGCTTGCTGACGTGGTTGAATTGGCCTTCAGCAACCAACGTGATCAGGTGGTCAGGCTTGCTGACGTGGTTGAATTGGCCTTCAGCAACCAACGTGATCGGGTGGTCAGGCTTGCTGACGTGGTTGATTCACGTCGTCGTATCCCAATTGCGTAGATCGATGCTCATGGTGTCAATCACTGATTTGTCTTGCCCAGGCTCGATTGTATACATACCGCCGTCATATAGCTGGAGTATTGCTGAGTGTGGTGTTAAACAACAAACAAACAAACTAGGAAGAGTTTATTGTTGAGACCTTCTTGTATTGAAAGATTCTGTCTTGTGTTTCAGGGTTAACTCCCCTTCACCAGGCGGTGCTCGACGGAAACTGTGACGCTGTTCGCCTATTGGTTAATCACGGTGCTGACGTCAACATGCTGGATGGAGACCATTGGACGCCTCTTCACGCAGCATGCGCAGAAGGCCATGCGGATATTGTCCGGTGGGTCTCCGAATTTTAGTTATTTTAATAACTGTTGATTTCTTCCACAAATAGATCGAATTTTGCTGATCTTATATGTTGAATGGATAATGTAGTAAGCATTTGATTCATTTATGGATAAAGGTAATATAGCGGCGCCACTGTTGCATTGGTTTCCAGCCAGGAGTCGGAAGACAAGGATCTCATGAAAACTAAAATCTAATACATTGACTCACACCCTGCCTAGTGAACCGTTTCATGCGTTCACACCCCCACACAACGCCAGTATTCCGTAAACATTCCGATTAAGGTCCCCATCAACATATGCTTGTCGTGAGAGGCGACTAAATAGATCGGAAAGTCAGACTCGGTGACTTGGTTCATTGCATGGTTCCCAATTGATCATTGCTCGGGATGTCAATCACTTGAATGTCTGATCCAGACTCGATTATTTAATGACCACAGTCATAAAGCTGAAATATTGCTGAGTGCGGCAGTAAACAACAAACAAAACAAAAACCATTATCAATTTCTCCCCAAGAACAGTTGAACAAGAGACTGATCATTATGCATGCCAGTCACTGTTTTTGTGCCCTAGCCGTCTCAGTTGCAAACCTGCGTCACAGTTCCCCGTCGATATGTGAATAATGTTCAATGCTACTCGCGTAATTAACCCAGTTACCATAAATTCTGGCGATATGCTTAATGTGATATGCCATGAGCGTTGAGGCAATTGCTTCAAATGAACAGAATGTCTATAGAGGACATTTCAATATGTGTTTCCGATTAATGATGTTATGCTTGGCGCAAGTACAATGTTTCTTACACAGGTTACATTATGAAGGCAGTAATATCAGAAATAGAACATGCCCTGGGGATATTCGTCGAGTGTGTGTTCCATTCTAATAGGCTGAAACAGAATACACAACAATGGCACAGAGTCTGGCGTTATGCTAACACCTATTTGTAAATAGACCTGCATACACTGCATATTTCTTTGTTTTGCCATGTATAGAAGCTTACACATACAATAAGGTCACTGATTAGAAAATCTAAACTCTGAATTGTGTGTACTGTTACATATTTACTCAACCCGTGAAAATCCGGGGTAGAATAGGTCTCCAGCAACCCATGCTTGTCGTAAGAGGCGAAAAACAGGATCGGGTGATCAGGCTCGCTGACTTGGTTGATGCTTGTCATGGTATCCCAATTGCGAAGATCGATGCTCATGAAGTCAATCACTGGATTATCTGGTCCAGACTCGGTTATTTACAGACCGCCGTCATATAGCTGGACTATTGCAAAGTATGGCGTTAAACAACAAACAAAAACAAACTCCTTAAACAATCTTTTGAGCACCCTTTGCAGTTTCGGGGAAGAATATATCCCAGTTATACCTTGCATTTCGTACTTTATGCAACGGAGAATAGTTGGATAGGTGACAGCTTGACCCGTGAGAGTTTCTGGGGCTTCGGTCCTGCCCCAAACTGAAGCACATGTAGTACATGTGGTGTCTCCTCTGGCAAGTGACTTTGAAATGCGACTGTTAATCTTCCAGCGCCTCATACACAGCTTGGGTTGTCTACTCCTTAGGGAGCTGAGAATGAAAACATCCGAGTGCACACTGAACCATTGACCGGGGTAATAGAAATGCAGCGCTTCGAACATACATTTGTGTATCATCATCATCATCATCATCATTATTATTATTATTATTATCTACAGGTTCCTACTGAAAAAAGGCGCAAATAGACGCATCCTGACAGCCGAGGGTGAGCGTCCCCTCGACCTCGTGGACCCCACCGACGTGGACGTCATCAGCATCATGCTTGCGAGCCAGGCAGCATCACAGACAACGTTGGAGTCGGATGAAGACCTCGACGACTCCAACGAGGAAGACTGTGACAAGGAAAATGGCAACACGTGATGGCGGCGACATATGACGACTCCAGCAGTGTACGACGGACATTAACATGACTGTGCACACTGGAGTAAGAAGCTCGGCGATGCAACAGATAATCAGTGGTGCACAGGCTGGAGGGAGTACACAACTCCCATGGCAAGCTCAAGGGGGATGTCAACACAGAGGTGGCATAGGGTCTTTTAAATGCGTCGCTATGAGATACGCACACTGTGTGCAACACGATGAAATAGCCAGCTGGATAGTTTAAACCCGAACCTGCGGATTTCATCATACGCTTCGTTGGTGACATATCGTCATCTTTATATAAGCTTCGTGCACAAATGATCTTCGATTCACTGCTGATCAAATTTCAGAATCACGTAGAACAACCGACCAACTAGAATCGATCACCTTTGCCAACCCATTCCTCATGGTCACTGACCAATAAACATGAGTGTTAATTAACAATAACATTGTACCTATTTGACGCACCTTCCATGCGACCAGAGTCCAGGACTTTTGTGACCTATTAACAGCATTATCATGGCCTTCATGGCAAGCCCTCCTGCTCAACGATCACCTATCAACGCACCGTGGTACATGAACTCACGTAACATTCTATTACTGACTCTGAAGTTTATTGAAACAATGAACCTCCTTTGACTTTGACGAGTGTGTTACCGTGTGTCTGTGGTTCTTTGAAGTGAAGTGTTTGTCCTGATTGCGACTGTCTCTGTACCCGACTCGTGGTTGTTGCTGTGACGTATTCATGAACCGTGTGCCGGACTTCATGTTAAGACACTTCATCATTCTGCAGGAATGGATACAGGCTTTTCTTGCCAGATATTGTGTGGCGTCAATTACCGTGGCAGCAAAATGTGCAACATCGTTGTCCTCGTTTATGAGGTAGTTTGACATATTGTGGCTTTAGGTTAAGCCAATGCAATTAAAATTCGACTGTCAGTCAAATGAACTGTCGGGCAAAAGAAAGTATACACCTGAGAATTGGATTTGACCCCAAAATTACAAACGTTATCTAAACGCTATCAAACGAAGCACTGCAAACCTGAGATCCAAACACAACTATGATACCGGTATCAAATACATCACCATCGAATAACATTTCTTGCTTGTTCAGACCGCCTTCGCGGTCTTGCGGTAGAACGTCCGGCCAGAGAGCGGAATGTCGGGGTTCGATCCCTAAAGACGTTAAAAGATGATACTTGTTGCTACCTGGCGCCTAGCATTAAGGGGCTAAAACAAGGACTGGTCGGCTCGGAGTCTGTATACTGTGTCTGAATGGGGTATTCATGTTAAACTGAAGCATGGTATCTCGGTGGGCTAGCACTAGAAAACACACACACACACACACACACACACACACACACACACACACACACACACACACACACACAAACGATAAACCCCATACCATTTCACCTCACCTCTCTTTTGTTAAATTTAATGTTTAGCAACCATCAGTGTATACTTTCGTTTGCCTGGCAGTATTTCTAACCTGACATGGTTTCATTTAGTATAGTACATCCCTAGTTGTATAAATAATATCTACAGAATGTGCCACGAGTTGTGAGTTTCCCATTTAGTGTCTCGTGTGAGGTAAAGAATCAGACCAGAAAGAAAATATGAATAAGCTGTAACATTTATTTCCGAAGTAACGATAATTGATATAACGAACAATTGGCTTTAACGAACTCAGTTAATCCTATTGCTGTAGTAATTAGCGTTATTGACCATGTGAAGGGAACATGACGGATATATCAATCTGTGGTTAAAGGTCAGTTGGGATTCCTTACTTCTGAAGTTGATGCTGCGATTGGCAAAAATGGAAACACATGCTAAAGTGGCCTTCGGGATCTGCCTTTAACTCCATGGTGACAGAGAACGTTTATTTGTACCGTCAACATGAACTATAGAATCTTCGAATATAAATTTAGTTCCTACATTCATCACATCTGGTAGATTATGAGTATATATCGGCCCTAATACGGGTACATGATTGTGCAGGGTTGGCGATACGAGATGTTTCTTTATTTCTATCAACTAATATGGAATGTATATAGGGCATAAAATGTTTCACATTCGACTACGTGGTAAATGCATTCAGTTTTGTAAAAAGAACGTTTTTATCAACATGGCAGAATTTTTACCGTTGCGTTGTGAAGTGCTATGTCGATCGGTGTGTGTACTATCTAGTCACGTGATACCCTAGATTAACTGTATCTGCATGCATTTGTCTGGTATTATCACCTTGCTACGGGTGCGATAACCGTCTGAGACCAAAAGTGACCATTTTCTATTTAGCCTGCAAGATTAGGACACAATATGTGGTGATTATATCATACTGGTCAAGCGTAATGTCACGATTCTGAAATATACTTTACACGAACAAAGACGGTCACTTCTTGGTCAGGGCATCTATTCTCTGTTAAACCACAGGCGCTGAGATGGTCCTTGTCCATTTCAAGTTCAGTCCAGTTTATATTCTTCAGTGATAACCCAGCCATCAGATCACCCTCTGCTCTAGGATCAGTCCCGTTATTTGATTAGTTCCCAAGGGTCATCATTCGTCCATGGCCCCTCGGAACGGACAATACTACGTAGCAAATTAAGACTTAGGATATTTAGTGTGGTCTTGCTACCACTGTAGAGGTAATCAAATTACCTGCAGCCCGAAAAAATCTTTTTGTATTCTGTTGGGAGATACAAGAGTGATGGTAATTTTGTGAGAAGTCTTTGCTTATCTGGATTGATACACATTTCGTTGACACTTTCATTCCGTTAGACTTTTCTAATGCCCCTAATATATGAATTTCAATGTTAAACAACCATTCAGTGACGCGCCACATTTGTGTATGTACAGACAGATCAGTGTTTCGTTCTTGTTGAGAAAGTGTTCCGCGTTGCAGTGAACCCGTTTCATATTAACTGGTTAATGGCTGTCTTTACGTAGCGTCACCTTCCTGAGGAAAGGCGACTTCTCGCGATTGTGTTGATTTCATCCGGCAGCCATGATGGATGATATCTCATTTGTTACGCGAGCTTTCTCCAGATTAGATCGTGTATTGGCCCCAAACAAAAGCACAGAGGTCGTGCAAATATTGTTTTCCCTAATCAAATATAACTAAAAATAACAAAAGGGTTTAAAAAAATAAGTTTTGCACATTGAATACTCAGCGTCCACTAGAGTAGGGGTGTAAATATACATAGCGGTAGGGTAGAAGTCGGGTTGTAGGGGGGCGTCCTCGAGATTCCTTCACAGAACATAGACCGGCTTATTTAAAGGGAGAGTGCTAAAATATCAGGTGATCATTTCCATCTAGATCTAGACGTTGTAATTAGTGCTACGAGTGAAAGTGAGACATTGTCTCCGTGCTATAATCATTAATTGTTAAATTAATAAAACATTATTCATCATCAAGTTGAGTTAGTAGACTGAGAAAACGTTTCCTTAACGAGTTGAATCATATTTGGTGGGACTGTCAGTTAACCCGTGTCTAGGCCTCTATAAACAGACCGTGTTGCTGCAGTATTTCAGAAACCAAATTGTATATTTCTCCCATTGGTCTCTGTGTCACGCCTGAGATGCGGACTGCATTTTGTAACGGTTGTTTTAATGGTCCCTTGTTGTGTTCTTTAGAGTAATTATTTTCTTATCGACGACTGTCTAAATGAGTTTCCTACCCTCGGGCTGGTGTGTTCATCTTTCACATCCATAACCTCAGTAATAAAAGATGTTCGCCATTACCCCTGTCTTGTCTTCATTCTTCAAGCTCACCTGGTTGGTTGGTGTGTTGTTTAACGCCGCACTCAGCAATAGTCCAGCTATATGACGGCGGTCTGTAAATAATCAAATCTGGACCAGACAATCCAGTGATTGACATCATGAGCATCGATCCACGCAATTGGGATCGATGACATGCATAAACCAAGTCAGCGAGACTAAACAAAGAGCTACAAGAAATGACAGACCGTCTGTCCTTAGTAAATTAATTTTGTAGCTTTTCAAATTACAGGACTTATCTATCCTATTTCAGAGGACAATATTTGAGCCCAAGTCTGCAGCAAATATAAAAATCTTATTCACGTTAATTAGTTGGTTGGTTGATTTGTTGTTTAATAACAATATTCCAGCTATATGGCGGTGGTCTGCAAATAATCGAGTCTGGACCAGACAATCCAGTGATTAATATCATGAGCATCGATCCACGCAATTGGGATCGATGACATGTATCAACAAAGTCAGCGAGCCTGACCACCCGATCCCGTTAGTCGCCTTTTACGACAAGCATAGTCACCATTTACGGCAAGCATGGGTTGCTGAAGACCTATTCCACCCGGGAATCTTCACGGGTTCAAGCTTACCTGGACACAAAATCTACATGACCTTGTCCACAGTCATAGATGTCTTCGACTATCGTGTTTCCTCTGACTCCTAGCTTGTATACTGTTTTGATTTTGTTATATTTCTTATCGGCGGAATGGCTTGTTTTCACTTTATAAGCGTTGGCCTCGTTAATTATTCATCGCGATATTTCGTTTTTCAAGTGGTGAGGACTTTAATGTCGGTGTTTTAGTGCTAGCCCACTAAGATACCATGCCGCAGTTTAACATGGATATCCAACTTAGGTATGCACAGTATTCTGACCCCGTTTCATGCAACAAGTACCATATTTTGGTATGAAGCTTCCGACCTTCCGCTTCCGTAGACATTCCATCCTAGACTACGGAGGTGATCTCAACGAGGATGAATGAAACGTGTATCTAGCCAAAACTATCACAACATACAGACGTTAAATCATCTTCCCGAGGCAAGGTCCAGTTTCCACCCTTGCCGAACTTGGCTGGAATTTCCAGGCTCGACATAGCGTCACCAGCGGCTATTACGAGCTATGTCCCTCCTATTGACCAATCAGATTCCATCTCTCATATCACTTGCATTTGCTTAAAAACATATAACCGATAATCAAGATCTGTATTATTTGTAATAAAACGGGTTTTTCCCCGCGAAGCGCACCAATCACTTGAGCGCCTTAATTAAAAACACTAAAACAAACGCTCTCTTAATTTTTTCTTCTATTGACGCCTCACTCAGAAATACGCTAGCTGTTGATAATCGAGTATGGACAGACAATCCAGTGATTGCAACTCGGTTACGATGCAATAATGTCAGCGATCCTGGACACCCGACTCCGTTGGTCACCTCTTACGACAAGCATGGGTTGCTGAAGACCAATCCTGACCGGGATCTCTCACATTCACAAATAGACCCAGTCTAACATTCACCTGCATGAAGAACACATACGAATGTATAATATCAGAAATACTTTATTCCTGAAAATATACCCAACCTCTGTCATGACAAACTTCCAAGGCGCTTTGTAGTCTCAACAATGACATGATGCAAGTGAGTAAAGCGGACGTAAAATATCTTGGCAATCGGGAACGCGAAAAACAATATTGCACTGGAAGTGGTAAGTTCCAAAACTGGTGGTTTCTGAAGAAACAAAAAAATGGCAAAAATTGAACAGAGCTTACAATACACTCAACAGATGCTTACAGCAGGCATCAATACATTAAAAATATGTAACAGTCATTACCTGGAGAACTGAAAAATCTGGCTGTATATGCAAGCTTTGTCAATACTTTGCAAATATGTAATAAATATGTAATAAATAATACTTTAAATTATATATATTTTGGTCATGTGCTATGTTCATATATATACTATTTTTCTAGTTACAAAATAAATAAATAACATAAATGTGTAAATTGCCATTAAATTTGGTGTACATGTAGAAATTGTTGGTAACTTTGGTGACAAAGAAGATAGCAGCTGATGTAAGTCACAACATGACAAAGGATAATTAATTATCACATAATTAACCAAATAGAACAGTTATCGCTTATTACGAATCAGCTTTGTTAATGCTGGTTCACAGTATTGACTTAACAATGAACCATATTTTTTAAACAGGGCATTTCAACTAACTACTGAGTAATAAAAAGAAATATTTGGTGATAACCAATAGGGACATGTAATTAAACCTTGAAACAAGGCCTTACTAGATTTATATACATGAACATGGAAAACCAAACTGTTGAAGGAATATAATTAATTCTAGGTGGAAATAGTGGAATAAAATTCAGATGAACACCACTAAATGCTGAGAATAAGGCGACAGATTGTGTGGTATTATGACAGTGGTCTGGTTGAAGAGGATAAACATTTTTAAAAATAGTACAATCTTCAACTAGAACTAACAAACGCAACCAAATGTA